ACGTCTTTTTTTCCCGTTGTTATGGCGATCTTTTGAATCATAAAACACTCATTGCGATGGAATTAGGCGTATTTTTGGCGAAATTTATTCGGTTGGAAACATCACGTCCTCAAATAAGGTCGAAAAGTACTCCTTGCCTAGGAATATATTTCGAAAGCATTTCAAGGAAGTTTTATGGCCACCTTATAACGTCGAAACTTTAAATTCTCTTCCCTGTAACTAGACTCGCAAATGTATTTTATTCTTCTTGGTTCAATGCTCGTCTTTCTAAATAGTTCCCAAAAATTTTCCCCACTTTCTTTTTATTTGTTTTGTTCTAGTTCGTTGAGACTAGATCATTTAAACTCTTGTAGAAATTTAAAATTGAATGAAAGTGCCTGAAATTAAAACAAAATTAAAAGTACAATATAGTAACAATTAATATACAGTACAAATGATGAGACACACACTCTTAAGATTCTATGTAAAATCTTAATTATCAAGGTGATACTCTCTATACAGCTTTATTGTTTTGACGCGAGCATTGCACTTGCTTACGTTAGTGTATTCAGTTGGTTAAAGGAGACGATATAGAATATAAATTTGGGATAAATTAGATTAGACGATATAGGGTAGACTATATTTGAGGGTGCCCCTTGCTGAGCGATGTTGAAACCCAATGGTGATTCTGATTGGTTCAGATTTTAGCGTTATTTTTAAATGTTCAACGGCATGTAATTTCATAAGTCCGTAAGTTCTACGTTGGATACTGGCTGGTAAGGTTACTTTTGCTTCTGGTTAATAAGATCGAAGTTATGTGGGTAGTCATGAAAAGGGACTTTAGAAAAAAAATGTCACCTCCTGTCCGTTACCACAGACGCCACTTTCGCCGAATTTATGGGGCGATCGAGGTACACAGATTCTATTCATGAAAAATTTAGACAGTATATAACTGCTATTAGAGAATTCTGTGCACTTAAATCTGAGAATATTATTCCAGTTAAATGAAGAAGTGAGTTGTTTTTTCCATTTCTTAATCCATTAATTTTTGTTTCGATTCCAAATGCATTTTATTGGGTTTATTAATTTTGCTTATATTGGGTTCATTGCATTATTATAAAGTCTTGACCGATGTTTTGTTGAAATTTTCTAATGTTATATCATTATTTCTAATGTTTTATTGAAATATCATCATGTTTTGGGAGCCATTTTTACCATGGTGTTCCGCGCAAACAGGATTTGCGTTAAAATTAAGTCGCCAATTTAGCCAAGGGGCACCTTCAAGTATATTTTTACGGACGATATATTATATAAATATAGAATATTTATTATATCGAGCATTATATTAGTATATTATAATAATTCGATAAAATTATTAGACGAACTGTAATGTTTTAATAATTAATTGTTTTAACGAGTTTATGGGTAATACTTTTATATTTAAACACTCATCTAATGGATTTTTATTCAGAAGATTTTTTTTATAGACTTCCTATTTGTATTTATTTTTAACGTATTGCATGACAATGTTAACCCATTGATACAGCAGATGTAAACAAATGCATCCGAATAAAAACAGTAAAGCTGTATAGATTTAGATTTTGCATAGAGTGCGTCTAATATAATAAGGGACTGTGGATCATTTAAAATCTTGTAGAAATTGCCTGAAATTAGAACAAAATTTAAAGTACGCTATAGAAACAATTCATATAATTGTTAAAATTCGACTGATTATCGAGTAAATGTGAAGATAAACATTCGTAAAAAAGTGACAAAGAAAATGTTTTCATTTCTAAAATTATCTAGATAATCCACCGGCATCAAGTGAAAACAAGATCGTCTCTTGACCATTTAAATGAAGTAATGCTATTTATTTATCGTTCTCTAAGAAATCAAATCATTACAATCAAACGATCCACTAACTAAATCCTCCATCGCGATTTTTATAAACGATTATCCAAGAACAGTTTAAAATATTATTACAATAAAGAATATAATGTTGACTCAATTCAAGTGACCCCTGTCATCTCACAGGTTTTTATGAAACTTTTCTGTAGAAAAGTCTGGATGAAAAACAATTAAAATAATTTTTTTACAATTTTTGAACAAAAACTGCGATAAGGGAGACATTTTGTTCTCAAATTAAGGAAATGGGGGTAACTACAGAGGGTGGCTCGTAAATTTAAAAATATCTTTTTTTCCATTCCTTACACACTCTATCTTGTTCAATCGTTCACTTTCTATTCAACAATTGAAGTTCAAATACAATTTCTTGTACACATGATGTTAATACAGTTTTATTCAAATCATAATTCATTCATTTTAGGGGAGAAGAAAAGAAAAACTTGTTTAATAAAAAGTTGTTCTTCGTTGACCTCTGTAGGAATCGGTTTAAATATTTCTTTTTTTTTTTTTCCTTCATTATTACCTGTTTTTCTTGTTTTTTAATCATGTTGCGTAACAAAGACTTGGAATACTCTCAAAATTATGTTTTTCAATTTTGCAACAATACCGTGTAAATGTAATTAGTAAAGGCCCGGATTTTGANTGGAATACTCTCAAAATTATGTTTTTCAATTTTGCAACAATACCGTGTAAATGTAATTAGTATTGTTCTGATCGATTAAATGACTGTCATTATTCATAACACTATTCTGTAGGGACTCATCGCGTTCTAGTCTTAATGATGGCTGTTTATTAAATTAAAACCTATAAGCAAAATAGCTAGAAATGCTTCAAAAACATCGGCATTATTCATGGATAGCTTAGTATAAATAAATAATTCAACTTTAATTTTATTTATTTTGTCGTAAACTCTTTTGACTTTACCTTACATTTAAAGAAATCACCCTAACAGAGTTGTATTGTAGTCAAGATTATTCAAGTGCGGTTTTACAAAATAATAATAACAATAATTATAAAAAGCCGACCAGTCTGTGTAGGGGGCAGGGAACTGTCCTTGCATCAGAAAGGTTCTGGGTTCGAATCCCGGGCAAGGCATGGATGTTTCTTTCCCTCTATCTGTGTTCTATGTCCTTTCTCCTTTGTGTGTGAATGTGTTAATGTGACCCGCCCTATAAACGGGTTGTGGTAGTGTGACGTGGGCGACGCTGTTCCACCGCCGTGGCTTCGCCACAGGTGCCCACTGGGTAACGAAAAGAGAATTAGCAGTTCTGGCACTTTCTGTGGCCAATGGACAATAGCTCCAAGTGCCCGCCATTAAAAAAAAAAGTAATTATAAAAAAAATCTTTTTTAATTATTTCTAAAATCTTGTGTAATTGAGCGAAAACTCTCCCAGTTCTACCTTACATTTAATAAACAAAAAAAAATAATACTAATTCCCAAAACTAAACAAAGTTATCCCGATTGGTTGGCAAAATAACCCATTCTAAAAGAAGAAAAATCATTGTCAAAAAAAATAAAGAAATATTTGAGTATAATAGAAAACGATATGATTTGGACATTAGAGAAGCGGTTTGCGGAGCACTTTACTCCGATTTTGATTCGCATCGATCACTGTAGTTGGGAACAATCATTTGACGTCCGTCTCTCCCCTCCCCTCTCTTCAAAAAAAAAAATAATAATACGAGAAATTTTTCTCGGAAAGAACTCCTCAAGAATAGAGAAAGCTATTTTGGAAACGATTTTCGGAATAGTCATTCAAATATGGAACGAATAAAAGAAATATTTCAGTTCCTTTTCCATATTTAGATATCTCGATAAAATCGTTTGCAATAATGTGCATACAACTCGTTCTGCTTTCAAAGCAGTTTGATTTCTTGGAATATTTTAAGATTACAAAAGAACATTCTGTTTTTAAAACTTATACAAGCAATAATGGGTAATATTTTTATCGATATGTAATTTTTTTAGAAATATATTTGCTATTGAAATATATATATATATATTTAAATCATAAGTTTCGCATTGGATCCAATTATTTTAAACATCCCTAGTAACAAGTGTTGACAATAATAAAAGTATTTGCTGTTGGGCAAAAAGCATGATGTTCTTAAAAATTTTAACTAAAAATTTTAACTAAAAATTTATTAATTTTTAATTACCTTTATCAAGTATTTCATTACAATTTATTCCTTACTAGCATATTTGTTTTAAATATTTAAACAATGAATATAAATTATAATTTATAACTCTTTTAAAATGTTAATACAAAACATGTTTTTGAGAATTTCTAAGGGCATTATTTTTCATTTTTAGGTTATTTTTTATATTTTAAATTATTTTGCAGACTATAAAGGCATTTTACAAGAATTTTCAGGTCTTCAACATCACAGCTCTGGTCATAACTTATAAGATAAAAAACAATGTGCTACATACATTTTAAATAAAAAGTTAAAGTTAGCAGAAGTTAGGAAAATAACTATGTAGAATAGGGGTGCACAATTTGTGGTTACGGGAAACATGCGGCCAGCAGACTTGTTGATGAGTGGCCCGCAAGAACTTCGGAACTCAATTTTTTTTAATTAAAAATTTCTAAAATTTTGAATTGTAAATTTGCGTAATGATTTTTTGATGCACTCAATTTGCACAGATTCTATTGAAAATCTATATTGTTTCTTGATTGCTTTTTCAAGGGTTATTGCTACAAAATTATGTATGATTGATTAAAAAAATAAAAAAAAAATTAAAATATTACAATGTGCGAGTTTCGTATTTGAGTAATAAATTTTTGACTGCCATCAATTTTTCCAGCTTTATTATAAATAGTGTATTATAAAAACTAGTATAAATACAGCACATACATACATATATTAATAAATCAATTTAATTATTTTTAAATATCAGTTTTTATTATTATTACTTTGAATTAAACTTAATTAAAAGTATTTAATTTACCAAAAATATGTTTCTAAAGTTTGTTGATAAAAATATTTAATCTTAAAAACACCAATTTTAAGATATAAATAATCACATTTGTCACCACAATGACTAAATATGCTTATAGCCCTCCATTAGTCAGCCTGCTGCGTGAGTGGCCCCTCACTCAAAAAGGTTGTGCATTCCTCATATATAACTACAGAAAAGTACACCCTAAAGTAGAACTCCAGAAAAGTGCACATGTATGATAAAAGATTGAACAAATAAACGAACAGAAGTATGAAATTATTTTATTCACCTTAGACGGAGGTGGTAGTCTAGCTTTTGGTGGCGGTTTCACCCTTTGCGGTAGAGGAGATGTTTGATGTTGCGAGGTTGTTGTTTTTGTTGTGCTCATACTCTGTTGGGATGCAACAGGCGAATGCAGATCCCTTGAAATATGAACACCGGATGAGGACGTTGAAGAATAATTGGACTGGGAGACAATAACTTGTTGCAGCTCAGGTGGAAGTTGAACATGATGTTGACTGCTAGTGTTATTAACACTATAGCTTGATGGATAGTTAGGGCTGTTTGACTGAAATGAACTAGAGTTGATTGAGGGGGCAGCGGGGGTATTTTGACTCACAACCTACAAACATAAATTGAATTTAACAAAACATAATTTTACAACAAACATAATAAACATTTAGCAAAATAAATATTTCAAATTTCATTAATATCAATGTAAGGAGTAAAGGAAGAAAAGTTAGGGGTTAGCTTCAAGATAGATAGAAAGAGTAAAAAGTTAATATATAATGTCACACATTTTAATATCAAACAATCATTATCAGAGCTATTCATAGTTTCAAAAATGCCCTTAAACATGTTTATTAGTTACTTGGTTCAGTATTTCTTTAATAAAATTATTTTAAAAAAATTAAATAATTTTGAAACGTAAAATACAATGAGTATTAGGGCAAAACATTGCCAAAAGTAAATTACATTATCCTTACATTCATAGTATTTAACAAATATGAGATAAATGAATTTTTTTAAGAAACAAGAATTAAGTTCTTATTTATATTTAATCTTTTCCTAACTTTTATCTTAAAATAAAACATTTTTCGTAAAAAAATGTTTTGAAGTAATTAATTTTTTTAATTAAGATTGTAAAAAATTTCTTGTGCGAAAGAAGTTTGGAATTTCTATCACGCTCAAAACAATTTTGGAAGAAGGTGTTTCTAGGCTAGCTGTTTACAAAAAAGGAGCTACAATTAAAACACTACAGTCAATCGGTGCCTTAATTAATCCATAATATAATAAATAGGAACAATTGTTAAATAATACTATTTAAATTTATCATTTTAACAAGAAAAATTCTGTTTTAAGAATTATCACCACCTAAATTAAATTTTACTTTAATCAACAAGTAGAATTCACAATATTAAAATTAAAATAAGAGTTAAACAACAACTTACACCAACTGCTGCTTTAATTTGAGCTTCAGCTTGTTTTGCAAATTGGTTGAAGTCAAAATGTGATTGCGACTGTGGTGCCACTGCTTGCTGCATTTGAGGGATCTGCTGAGACAATAGAGAAGCCGGTCCCACAGATGGACCATTAGTAGCCGGCATGCTTGAATTCTGTTCAGAACTAGAGGCAGATTTTTGCAAAAAACTCGCTAAATCAATACTAAAAAGAAAATAATTTTTGTACTATTTACTAATAAATATATTGTAAAGATAAAAATTGCATAATGTAAAAATTTATAAAAAAAGCAGATAAAAATCAAAACAGACACATGGAACTATTTACAACAATTACTAAATGCAAACAACTTTTGTTGTGGCTGCACAGCACTGAGCTCTTCCGCTCCGCTAAACTTCAACACCCCGACTTAATCAACTAGATATTTAAAACAACTTTCCTAGTTCCAAGAACATTAATATTTATCTTTGCACAAATCACTGAATAAATGATACATACATCTAATTATTTAATAATTTACATTGAATACAATCAAAGAAAAGAGAATAAAAATTACTTTTGCCCGAGAGCTGTAGCTGTTGGAATGTCTAATCCAGCAACTGCAGTTGATTGAGTGCCAGCACTAGGGGTAAAAACTTTAGTTTCTGTCAGCTATAAAACAAAAGAATTTTTAGACTTAATTTCCAGACATAACATTTCACATTACTTAACAAGCATTCTGTTGTATAGAAAGGATACTGACACAAAAGCCAGATGAGGCAATACTAAGTTTTAATTAAGTAAAATGCTTTAATATGCACTTATAGTGCAACAAAAAATAAATGAATATACATACATTTTCTGCCCAATCTTCTTCACTCCATTCTTCTGTAACTGCAACATCAGACCAGTTTCCTAAAAAAGCACTTTAAATTAATAATATGGTCTAAATAAAGTAGGTTGTCACTGCTAACTTCAACAATCTTTTCACTTTCGATCTCTAGCAATAAAGCTTTGACACATTTAATTATTGCAAACCCGATTTAAAAAGATATTGTCGACGCCAATTTCAATATCTTCAAAAGAATCTAAAACAATCCTCCATTTGTTAAAAAAATTGAATGTAGATAAGCAAGAGTCAGTACGAGGTTTCTTTATATCTTTCCAAAAAGGGTGAAAAAAACTGTACTGTGGTGGTTGCAATAACTAACTCAGTTGATGTCAAAATTCAACTTCACTTGTTCACTCAATGCATTGCCCCTATACTTTTATGTATGTGCTAGACCAAATGTTTTGCAAAATGCAAAAGCTGATTAAAAAAAATTAAACCAAATGAATAGATANATTAAGAAAGAAAAAAAAAGATGTTTCGTTTGCTTCACCTTTTCGAGAATTCCATGCCTCTAAAGACCTGTTCCATATTTTTGATTTCATGCCTATTTCAAAGTGACAGCGATTCTACATTTCCAGAAGTTCATCTTGGTGACACTTAATGTTGGCCAAAGCGAGCTGTATTCAGTGTGTGAACTTTAGTAGATCGTGCTTAGTGGTGAAATCATGTGAACAAAAATGGATGAGTGCTATGAAAATCTTCTTTGGGGGGGGGATTAATATTTTACACATTTTATATCAATTATACTTTTGACAAATCGTGCTCTGATATACACAAAATGCTGACTTTTCGTAAAATGATGCACTTTTCGTAACCAAGGTTTAAACATTCATATCAGAACACTCTTTAACCATTCTTTGATTAAATCTGAAAAGTCAATCGAGAATCGTTGTGCAAATTTTATTGAAAATCCTTAAAAAAGTAAACATTCTTAATCGCTGATACTGTATAAATTTTTTATCAGAATGCAAAGTAAATAAACATGACAATTCGGATGCTGATCTTAATCGATATGGCATTCTAAATTCGATTACCCTAGTTCTCTTTTTTTTTTCTTCTTCCTGCCTACTGTAAAGGTAGGAAGAAGAAAAAACAGCAAGCATGCGGGTCTGAAGGAGGAATGAATTCCCCCCGAAACTCCATATCCACCCTATTTCTTCTTCTCGCATCGCCTCCAGGTGGAATGTCGAAGACTGTTACTTCTTGGGAAATGGAAAAGAAAAACGTTCGAAACAAGGGTAGAAGGAGGGAGAGGGTACTGTGGAATCTTTCATAGGAACATTCGAATCAATACTTGTGAAGAACACACGTTACAGACAGAGGAGAAGATGAATCATTCGCCAGGAATGCACATAAGAGAACACATTTTGTTTTTTCTTTGAAAAATCTGCGGTATAAAGATTTCGAAATCTTTAGCCCACCAATATACAGCTATTTTAACAAGAGTTTCTACTCCTCATTCTTTGGATGGTTTCAAAGACAGTATTAGAATAAAATGTTTGTCCAGTCAAGTCAACCCTCTAATTTGTTTGAACTGGGGAATAAAATTTCTGAAGAGAAAATCACGTTACTTTTTGGCTTTTACTTACGCAGTTTCATACCTTTTGTTGAAATAAGTTTTTCTATCACTTTTAGTCTTTTTCGTTCAAATAAATAATAATAGGTTGGCGGTTTTTATGCAGTGTTATTGAAACAATGAGGAAGAAAAGAATTAGATACATCTAAACAACTCAATTAACCTCTTATTATTAAACACCCAATTAGTAAAAGCGTTTTATCCACATTAAAGTTGACCCTAGGCCTGATTGAATCACTGACATGTTGCATCAGAAGTGGGCAATTTATACTGGCTTTAATGCCAGAATCAATTTAAATCCGGTTTAAATCAAGTTTCGAAACCATTGTTTATGGTCATACTAAAGACCTATTTTTTAAATTAGTTAGGCCTAATTGAATCGTCTAACTTTTGCAACACAAACGGTCACCTTAAGCAAGTTTCAATGCATTTTTCAAAAAAATTTTAATATAATAAGATTAGGTTGGACGTCCATCCTGCCTATATCCACTTTTATAAAGAATTTGGTGTTTGAAATTTAAAACTTAGTCCTAATAATAATTTAAGTTGTCGTGTCATATAATCAGTCTGTCAGATGCGCTAACACTACACGGTCACTGATCAAGTTATTTAAACTGGTCACTCATTCAGATTCAAAAATATCAGTCAATTCAAAAGTTATTTAGGGTGAAACCTTTTTTTTACGGTACTAAATGGTACCATAAAGTATTCAATTTAGATATCAAAATGCTTATTATCAGTAACAGAGAAACGAAAAAATTTCTTAATTTGCAAAAATTGAATCTTCTCAATCAAAAAACTCTATCAGACGCCCATATTTCCTGCACTGCTTCATGGAACTTGGACCCTAAACTCAGATATACAAAGGACACATTCGAAAGAAAGAGCCATTTTTGGCGCAATGGATGCTGACGAACCAGATATAACTTCGAAGCAGAACCCAAATGACACAAATAATCCTCAGTCATAGGCTGGGCCATCTATGGAGAATCTCTGGAAAAAAAAACGCCATGCAAATCGTCACCTTTAAAAACCCCGAGGGGTCACGTCCCTGAGGCAGATCCCCTACAAGATGGCTCAACAACAATCGAAAATGATTTGAAAACCCTAAAGATTAGAAAATGGAAGGGAGCAGTTGCTTGGATAGGAGGCGCTGGCGTTTGTCAGCTGTTGAGGCAGCCAAAGGACAGCAGGAGGCGCTGACAAAGAAGAAGAATTTGCAAAAATAAATATTGAAAGAACATTTTAATTGACGAAAGAGCATTCATAGAATATGCTCATTTTGTTTTCATAACAAAATGTCACAAACTTCTTATCGAATCCTCTTATATTTTACCGCAGTTCTGCATTCACATTCTAATTACCTATTATGATTCAACACAACTTTGAAATGTCATCTTTACAGACGCATTAAAACAAGTACTCATATAAAATTCCTACTCAAAGACAATTTTATTTTAGTTACTTTTAATTAAATAATTACAAGTTTATTCTCCCCTATAAAACTAAAATGAAAGAAATAAATTTAATGACTGAATTAATATTTTTTTAAAAAATGTATTAATATCCAGTGTTGTGAGATCCTGTACAAGCTGCCAAATACAAGTTGGTAGCAAGAATACGGTGAATCTAAGTTTACAGAGTTTAACTGAAAAGCAAATGAAATGAAAGACAATCGGTTTGTGTAGTTTTTACCTGCACTATTTATCACATAGAAAAATGTCTTATGTTACGTTTTTGCACTAATCTTGCAGGAGATGGCTATATTGCCCACTGTTAAAGTTGCATTAAAAATAAAAAAAATTTGAATTTGTGGCGTCCAGAATCACGTCCGGGTCACCAATGAGGGGATTTAATCTTAGACTATGTCAACCTTTATCTATCTGGAGGTACCTTTTGATAGATGAAGGTTGACATAGTCTATAATTAAAAATCCCCCACATTGGTGACCTGCGGACGTGATAAGAAATTGTTAATATTGATGGATGAATCCACATTAAACAGTTGATTTGCTTAAAAAAAAAAAAAAAAAAAGATCCGGTGAAGTAAATAAAGTCTTCCGGTTAATAAATAATAATGAGCGAAATGCTAGAAAAAAAATAATAATAGCGAAAAGCTATAAAAAAAAATAACGAGCGAAATGCTTGGAAGAAAAAAAAATTAATCAACTAGTGGTATCTGTTCATCGAATTCTATCACAGATAAAATTCTGGAAGGGGAGTTATGTGGCGTAACTACCACTATAAATATTAAATACCAAATCAATAGTATATAAGACGTGTTAACTTGAATCCATCACGAGGTACCTTTTGATAGATGAAGGTTGACATAGTCGATAATTAATTCCCACAAATTAACCTATACTTGCTCGAAGTTTCGCAATTCTTTACTGCATATTTAACTTACAAAAAAAATTCGATTTGCCTAATTTTTGCACAAAGTTCCTAAATTTCTCACTGCCTTTTTATCTCACCTAAAATAAACACTACGATTTTTCACGTATTAAAAAAAAAGAGTTTTCGAACACATACCATTCATACTTATCATTCTTATCACCTAAGCATGAAACAAAATATAGTTTGAAAGTAGTTTTAGTATTTTCGAATGCAACGTTACGGATATTATAACAAAATATAGTTTCTTTCTTTCATTCAAAAGTAATGACTCCAGATGGAGCCTTATTACTTTCTTATGAAATAGAAAAATCATTCATAAAGAGGATTAACCGCTATAAAAACTAACCTCAACATAGCCTCTATCAAGATAAATTTAAAATAAATTAAGCAGAAATAAAATAAAAAAAGTGAAATAATAGCTCCATTTATGTTTTTCTTCGTCGGAAATAGTTTTTATTCAATTATGTCCTCTGCTTAAATTCCTTCTCAACTTTTTAAACTTTTTTTTCGTTCTTTCATTCTATTTTTTTTTTTTTTTACGAATACTCGAACGATTTCTTTTTTCTCTCCAAAATTACCTTTCAAAGAAATATGGAAAAAAATAAAGAATGGATAATTTTTATCATTATTAGCGAGAAAAAAAATTTAATTTTCTTTTTAAGCTTAATTTTATAAAGATACTTAATCTATATTTTTTTATCATAGTCTTATAAAAAATAGTGTTCAATGGTTTTTCAAAATTTCTTTTCTCTAGAAAACTGTATTTACATTCTATCATTATTTACATAGTATTTCAATGAAAGGGTACAGTCTAAAAAAATGATCTCGCTAATATTTCACACTTTTTAATAATAAACCATATTCAACACCAAATAAATGTTTTTACGTCATAACTTTTTGTCAATAACAGTTCTTTTTTGTTGTTCAAAAGCCATTATTTTGCTTATTTTATTCACTTTCAGCTCATGAATACCCAATCAATATTATGAACACATTTTATCAATAATATTCTTCATTTTATTATTACTTTTGATAGAACTATGAAGAAATTAATTTCAATTTGAAAACTTAATTTCAAAAAATGAGTTTTTCGAATTTTAAATAATGTTATAATTAATTACTATTTACACTTCAAATTTACTATTCATTTTTTGCTTTCACCTATACCTATATACTATATGCTGTATGC